TGATTGTGGAAACACCTTACATGACGATTTACGAGAAAGATTTAAGAAAAATGTTGCTGTTCAAATATTTAAGAATTTCTGTTTTCAGCTCCGTTTTTCGTTTTTCTTCTGCAAAATCTGCGATATTTTCGCCACTCGGTGACATACGAAAAAGTTACGAGAGAGAGAGAAAAAACAACCAATTGAAATAATAGCGAGAACAGTGAAAAGAAAAATGTTCGCGTTTTTTTTTCATCTGTCACTAGGTGAATCGAGCGCATTGTTCCATTTGTGGGTGTGCGTGTAAAAGTGTTCGTTGAATTTTCTCGCGCGCGTTTCGGGATCAAATCATGTTTGACAATGGCATTCTAAACGAAATGTTCGTTGAAATTGCATTTCACGTGCTGTTCATATTATCAATACTTTATATTTGTGCAAATATATTTGACACATGTATCCGCTGCTGTATTGTGAATGCCATCGGGCTTTGCATGCAAACGGAGCAAATGCAACCAACAACAACAATAATAAAAAAGGGCGAGAGCGTGCATTTACAAAAAAAAAAAAAACACACACATAGAGTGCAATAGAAAAAGATGAAAAGAGAGAGATATAGAAGAAATAAGTAAAGAGCTCCCGCTGCATTATCCGCGCAAACAAAGGTAAAAGCAACAATTTTTATTATATTTTACAATTTGATGTATTTTCTCGTTCATTCATTTTGTTTCAAATGTTCTAATACTTCGTGGTGCGTTTTATCTTTCTCTCGTTCGCTCGCCCTTCTCTTGCCCATGAAAGTGAGCATTCGTGTTTACTTATTGTTGACATGTTTATTGTTAACATTGTCAGTGTTTCAAGTTATTTTAACCTTACAACAATTTCATTCGTTGGAATACATGAAGATGCTACTTCAAACGAGTGAAATTGGCAAAATGAAGGAAACACAACGGCAAGCAACTTAAAATGTAAGAAATAAAAACAATGGAAAATTGGAGAGAGGGAGCAAAAAAAGAATGTAGAAGGGTTCAATGTAATTATCTTGTGCAGTATTGCACACGAGAAGCGCATGTTTTTCTCGATATTTAACTCGTTATTGTTTCACCTTCTGTTCTTTATCAACAGTTTGAACTGCAATCTGGCTAAAAATTTCTATGGCATCAAATCCATCGACGTGTATATACAATAATTTCGCGCAACACTTGGACACGATGAGTTCATGCGACTTTCAAGCAATTGCTATTTGATATGATAGCGAGTGGGTTGAACTGTGTTGAAGGGTATATTATCAGTCAAAATGAATGAGAAAAAAACGCACGCCATTGCGCGCACACACACACACACACACATGAAACAAAAGGTACAAAATGTTTGATTTTCGATTACAACAATGTATAATATGTATATTTTGATGTTCCGTATTGCCACCACCATTTGTGTGTGTGTGTGTGTTGCGTGTGTCGTTCATATCGTTCTGTTCCGTTTGCTATTTCATATTTTATTTCGCATGGATATGCAACATCAATTTGTTTCGCCATAAAAAAAATTGTACAGAGAGAATACGAACAAGAACAAGAAAATGGAATGAAATGAAAGTGGTACAAAATGCACACACGATGAGAATGTTTGCTGATATATTATTGACGATGTGCCACATGTACTTTTCTCTTCTTCTTTTTTCTTTTCATTCTCACTTACTCACTCACTATGTTTTTTGTTCCGTTACTTTAACCTTTTCTAAATTATGATATTGTGCTGGTGTGGCGATGAAATGCGCTTCGAGCTATACTAAAACAGCATTACATGGATATTGAACGATTGTAAACAAAACAGAAAAAAATGAAACAATATAATGCAGCTACAATGTTTCCCACAACACCAATTTGACGCGATGCATCACTATCGAGAGATATGGTGGCGGTGAAAAAAAAAATTGCCGGTGCTGGAGGGGCGACAGAAGAGGAAATGCACCATCAGCAGCAGCGGGAAGTGGTCAGAAGAAGCGCGTCCACCGACACCAAATCTCTCCAACTAGAAACAAGCGTTCAATGTTTGTATTTTTATTAGCTGCAATTTGAGCAAAGAAATAATCATATAAAAGAACCAAGTGTTTTATTTAATGCCATCCAAATTGTTTTCTCTTCATCCCTCTCAATGATTCGCATGTCAAGTGCATGAAACAAAATGCAAACATAACGTTGCATGCATTAAATATATTTAGTTCGATTTATTCTTTCAAATGGAAATGTTGCTGAATTGAAGGAAAACAAGTTGATACACAACAACAACACCGCACCATATCCGTACATTGACTCCGATGAACATTGCCCCGGAAATCAATCGAATACATAAATATATTTTCTTAATGAGCTGCACAATCACAATGGAATTTAATTGGTTTCATTTCCACGATAAATCACGAAATACTATATTCAATTCAGCGCCGATTCGTTTCAATTAAATTTGTATAAACAACATAGTTGATGCTATAATTAATTTTAAGCTCTGACAAATGACTTTGATACTATTCATAACAAGAAACAAATGTACACTATAAAATTCTTGATTAGTGGAAATATAGTAGAATCATTGTGCTGTTGTCATCACTGCTATCAAATATTCAGAAAATCACTATTTTCTCATTGCTTATGGTTTCAATTTACAAATCAAATTTTGTCGTCGAAACGAGGTTTTGCTCTTTTATGATCACCTATAAACATCCCTAATAAACCAAAAAGGGTCGCTGATCAAAGCGGAACATCGAATTTCTATTGACGTAAAACAAAACTCTTGCATTGAGTTTCATTCGTCCAAAAATCAATTTTTTTTTCTTTTAATCGGTGACGAAAATGAATTGGATACTAAAATTCAAATCTCAAATGATTTTGTTCTTACTCTGCGTAAGTAAGTTTTGGAATAAGTTACTCATCTGTAGTATCTTACCATTGAACAGATTCGTACGCGAAAATTTGAGTCGGTATCATCGAATGTATATTGAGCCGCACATGGAAAACCAGTATGAGGCGATGTCTGAATTCTGTGTTGTTTGCAAATCGAATGGTATTTAAATAAAAACTTCATATTCGAAAGAGAAAAAAACACATCTCGTTTGATTGTATTTATTGTGTCGCATTCATTTATTATTTATTTAGCACACAAACAAAAAACGCTTTGACTGCATTCTGAAAATGTATAATTCTACGCCAGAAAGAAAAGATATTATTAATTGTATTGGATGCTGATCTGTAAATTATAAAGAAAATAAACACAAACACACAAATACACACCGCATCAATAATTCATGTGCACGATGCACCACAGAAATTGACTAGGAAATTGATCAGGAAATGTCAACCAAATCACGGATGATGCAAAGCAGTTGAAATGCTTTATTGATTTTAGTATAAACAAGTGTTAAATCGGGATGATTTTTGTCGCAAACTGTAGTCATATCGTCGAGTGCCATTGCTTCTCTTCGACCGCCAAACAAATTGTATTCGCCACTGTGCTCAACATTTAATGCAGACAAATGTTTACTTTTACATAAACCAATTCCAATGTTTGTCCTGCAAATGGGAATAAATTGAAATAGGAAATGATATAAAAAAAAAACATTGTGACACTTTTATTCATGTTCATTCTTTCTCTTATGTGCTGTATGCTCACTGATGACCGTACAAATAGAATAAGTTACCCGATTGAAAAAAGTGTGCTAAAATGTGGTCGTTGAATTGTCTCATTGGAAATGCGAATGATGATTCTATCGTCGATGATCATATGAACAATGATTGTAATGGCAACGGCAATGCCAATTCCACAATAAAATGGATATTCATCCATTGCATGATCGATTGTGTACGTGTACAATACAATTACACTGTGGATAAGACTCAATGCTCTCATTTTATTCTCCGTCAAACACTCTTGAACGCGAATTAATCAACTCCTTTTTTTTCTCTTTCTCTTTGTCAATTAAAAAAAATGCACTTGCAATCACTATTCCAATTACTTGATCGTCGTTCGATTTTCACATCTTGTGCGAGTTACTCAAATGGTGTTTGATGACTGAACGGAAATCCCAATCCGAAGGTTGTACTCAAACCATATTTTTTTGTTCTCTTCTTTTTCGTCGCCTTGCTTCTGCCATTGTTTTATTTGACACGCGAAATGGTGATCGTGTCCAATTCAATTGAGGTGACTTTCCATCGTGTGTTTCTTTTTGTGTATAAGTCAATCACAACCAATTTAAAATGTATGGTCTAAAATTGGCTGTGTCTTTTGTACTATAAGTACAAACATTTTCCGTCTAGTTTTTCTTTTGTTCGGTTCGTATATTTACGACAATATTTTGAGGTAAATCATTTGGCGAGTTCAATTGAATCCGTTATGTATTCGTGACGGTTGAAATTAAAACTTTCGACAATAAAATAAATGGAAGGTGTTTTTTTTAATGACCTGCTGCACATTTAATACATTTTTTCTTCACTTCATACATTGTGTTTATGTTCGAAAATTCTCTAGGGTTTCAAATAACAATAAAACACTACACTGCCATAAAATGAAATTTCAAAAAAAAAGAGAGAATTCACACAAAACGTGAGAAAATATCAAAGAGACCGAAAATTTAAGTGATGTATAATTAAATTACCGACAATTTTATTGTTCCACATGAAATACAATGATGTTCAGGGCGAGAGAATGAGAAAGAAAATTAGTGGTTTTGCTGCTGAAATTGGCGGCATCGACTTTGAACCCCAAGAAAGAATTGATTTTCATGTTATCGAATTTTCTTGATTACGTCGACCGGGTGGTTGAATGAAATTCATTTCTCGAATGTCTATAATTTTTAATGAATTTTCAATGAGCTCAAATGCCATATGTCATAATGCTTTGACTTTACCAGATAGAAACCCTTTTTCTTACCAATCCAGCAAACCAATGCGTACGAACATTTCCATATCGAACTCATTTACGCATGCGGTGACACACATATACCCATGAGACAGAAAATTTGTACGAATATATTAAATTTGCATAATATATTAATTTTCTTTATTTTATATGATATAATTTTCTAAATAGATTTAGAATGGTGATGGCTGCGGCGAATGGTGAATAACATTCAGCTGTGATAACCTTATGTGGCAAAATATCAGGTGATGAAGATTATTCGATTTGTGGCTGTCCATGTTGAATAAATGGTTTTGGGATCTTAGTTGGTTTATTTGAGTTAAGCCATGCATCGTCCACATATTCACGATAATCCTTACACTGATTGTTTCTCGTTCGCCGATATTCTACAAAAAAAAGTAATACGAAAGGCAAAAAATAGAAGATGAACAAAAAAAAAACAAAGAAAGGAGAAACACATCAATTCAATACGACACAATCGAACGTGTGCCATGGATTGCGAAATGCTTTAAATCTCTTGTTGTTGTTGTTGTTGTTGTTTTTTTTTGTATAAATAGTAGCAATAATAGTGTCGCTTACTTTTTTCAACGTCACAATTCCAAGCGTGCATCTCGCATATATTCACAAACATTCGATTTTCATTTGGTTTGCCATTTGTTGCACAAATCGGAAAATAATAGTATGGACATTGACGCTCACAGTCGACGTGCTTCAGCACACTAATTGCCTGATCGGATTTTTCTGCTGTATCTGCTGTTGCTGTCAACATTTCGACGCTAAAAATCACTGTAACCACTTTTTTGTAAAGAAGAGCAAAAAAAAAAAAATAGTTGGAAGAGAAAGAGTGCGAGAGAAAAAATGCATACGAAAAAAAGAGAATAGATTGTAAGTAGCAGCAAGTAATGCACAATGACTATATTCAAATAAATCCTACAAATCATCCCGAAAACTGGACATCCAAACACTACTACAGCCATGATTTACGATGAAATGTCACTTGCTGCCCTTTTTGTATGTTAATTTGAAACTGCTACGACTTTAGTTAACTGATTCAGCACTGGCGAAACAACACAATGTATATTGTGTCGACACTTCGTTCGAATATTTATATGCCAATCAGAGATTTTGAAATGCTACTCACTTTGTTTTTTTTTTTTTCGTTTTGTTTCGTTCAAATAAAATAAGCCGCCCCGGTTGCAATTCATCATTTTAATGGCATCCAAATATACACATATGTATAGTGTATATATGTAATACTTAAAATAAATAAGATAAAATAACAAATATGCATTTATTCATGGGTTTCACACGATTCGCATGTGCTGTCGTATGTCATACGAGCTCGACAAACTGACGCATAAAAAAGTAACACTCACTCACTCATACACACATGCAACAATAACAATGGCATTACGAAAATTCAAACAAAAGACAAAAGTCTGCCCTCAATCGATTTATTTGAATGCGATTCATTTCATTTCGATGAATTTTATATTGAAAATTCTCAGTCGCATTCTATTAGAGTGGTTCGAATCGTTGAACACATTTCATACTATGTATTTTAAAATATATATATATACATGTATGTATATAAAGTCGTTGATTTCGGTTGAATTATTCATAAAATTGATTTTCTTTTTTCATTCGAGAAAATTGAAAATGTGCACAATAACTAAATTTTCTCTGTATATTGAAGAATTTTTCATTTCTGTCTTTGTATTATGACAAATGCGAATACATTTCATTATTTAAAAGTGCGTGCAAGGAATGCATCAACCGGCAAAAATTTGTCCGACCCTAATCAAATGCACGATTATCTCGTTCAAAAATTCGAAGCTAAGTGAAATTATTCAAGTGTGTTCTACATTGAATAAGAATCAAGGGCATTGGATTTGTGATAAGAGCTGCATATCGAAATGTGTGCCCGTCTTCTATGCGCTCAAAAATGTATCAACTCACATGATCAAAGTGATTTATAAACGATACATCAAGAGCACGAGCGAGAAAGATTCACCATTCGTCACATGGTTCACAATCACTCCCAGGGTCATCAGTCTGTTTGCTAAAAAACAAAAAGAAGATTGTAAACGATCTGCATTTTTTTTAAGTTATTCGTAGGTGTTGATTCATCATTATTTATTTAAAATTGGCAGATTATCGTTCATTTCTCTGAACTGTTGATCTATTTTCAATTTTGTTTTTGTTCACAATGTGTTTCAGATCACCAGACCTTGAATTCGATTGCTTCGATTTTTTATGCCACGATATGCGTCGATACAGTGTTAACAGCTTGTCCGCCATTCGATGAATTGCGGGAAAAAGCGAGAGCGAGAGTGATGCATACACCCGCCAAAAGTGTGGAATAAGAAAAAATATCGAATGTTTGATTCATTAATGCAAGCACGTGTTCAATGTATATTTTATGTGATTTAGCAAATTGGGCAATAGGAAAAGTGTGCAAATCGAGTACAAGCAAATATTGGAGCCGTGAGAACGATCGCAAGCGGATTGGAGAAAAACGAGTGTAGAAAGAATTTTCTTAAGAAAGAGATTTGTGCATTTTCATGTAGATTGAATTGAAATTCATACGAATGAATTGACTATTTTTTTTAAGAATCACTGTTCTGACATTTCTTACTGTATGTATTCTTTTGCCTGATTTAACTACATGGCTTAAATTCTCTGAAAACTAATTGAATTGTATTTTGCCATCTGTTTGTTTATGTTTATGTCGTGATTCGCTTATCAAAATTGGCAGTTGGTAAATGTATATTCGCGTTTTCAATTAAATTTAAATGTTTTTGTTTCATCACTTTCTTATTTCCGAACAACAACTATGCGACAGCAAATGAGAAAAGTCAAATGGCATCAAAAATGCCATTAGAACACAATCCAGCTTAATTGAAAGTCAACAATTTTTTTATTTAAATAGCTGAGCGCATACTTCAAGTTCCGTCTTGGATCTCTTTTTTTTTTGGTACCGCCGTTGCGACCGTATCATCCGTTCTTTTCCATTTTCATCAAATGTGAACTTGACCCTCAAATTGAATGTATCTCTCTGTGTATGCTATAATGTAGTAAATTCAGATAATTTGATTCAAGACAAGATGACAACTTCGGTGGTTGTACTATGTGGCAAACGCCAACAATGTCGTCTAATAAAAGATGAATACAATATAAACAAAAAAAACCAAATTATACCAAACATTTATGGAAATTCTTATTGCTGATGGCATTCTCTGATGAAAGATGAAAATGCGTACTCAACATCAATAAAGACTCTGTATGTATATCTATCATAGAAATTTATAACAACAGTCAATGTTCTCGATGTAGATGTATGGGTGATAGATCACAGCTCGCTGATGGAATGAAATGGAATGCATTGTATCGTTTATGTTCTGTTAAATGTTTGTCATTTTGATGCGGTTCAAATGACAGTGAGAAATCATCAATCTCGTCTTTGCCAACAATGTGAAATAAGTGAATGTATAAAACGTTGCCGATTTCGTGTCATCAATAAATTCCACTTCTGTACTTCGGTTTTTCTATTGAATTCGATTTTTCAATGCACTTACATTTTCTTAGCATACTTATGACAATTGATTTGCATGTTACATCATGTAGGTTGTGGTGGAAATTTCCATTCATTGCACAGGGTGCATTTCAGCTTAGCAGTTCCATTTGTACTCCTGAAGAATCTATGTTAAAAATATTGCCACTGAATTGGAGCACATCCTGTATCAGTTAGAATGTTATTTCTTAGCAAAAAGTCCACACATCTCCAGACATTCCCATCTATTTATTACCTTTTATGCAGTATTTGTTTTAACATGATAACGATAACGGTAAGATAATAACGATAATGTAATTGTATCCCATACAAATAACCTATATATATGTATTGGGTTGAACGCATTATGAAGATACTTTCATTATTCCATAAGTATTATATATACAATCTTCAACTAAACACTGGAAAATATTATATCACGTCATAAACGAGGCCACATTTCAATATTTTAACTACATTATCAAGGGAATAACATTAAATAGAGTAACCATCATGACTGAGAGATGTCAAATTGTAAAAACGCCATCTGGTGACGTATGCGAATCTTGGAGTGCAGTTTGTTACTAAATTATCATTTAATGGTCATCTTCAAAACATTATTAACAGATCATTTATCGAGATATTTAAATAAATTTAAAGATATTGAAACGTATAAGGTGTCTTGCTACTCCAAAATCGTCGTATAAAAAATCGGAAAAGATTTTTCATGGGGCGAATCACGCTAGTGAATACTAGAAAAACTAGTAAATCTAGTGCGAAGAATGACGTCACAAACGAAGCCAACTTCACACCAAAGGCCATATAATTTATATGAAAAACTACTGAGAGACAACTTCACGCACTAGAATTTTCTAGTTTTCTAGTGAAATTTTATCAAAAACTAGACGCACTAGAATTTCATGATTGACCCCATGAGATTTTTGATTGAACCCAATAATACCAAGATTTATTTACATTTAACATTTTTGGCTCCTATTGAAAATAATACGCCTACGGTTATACACAAAAGATGAGAAGAAAACAGTTAAACTTTGGTTGCTATACAATTGAGTTTTGTAAACTTTAACGTATTTCAAAATTGACGAAAAAAATGCTGTTTTATTACTTTTTTGGAAAAATATAATAAATCAATCCAGAAAAATTATCAGCTACGGAATATATTTGCTTTATTATACGTTATACGCCTTGACTACACCAAAAAAAAACACACCGTGCTTTGGCCAAATCACTGAGCAATTGTTGAAAAACATCCAACAAATATTCCGTCAAAAGCAAAATGCGCATCAATTGTTACATGTCAAACGAAGTTCATTGTGAGAGCATCCAAAATACGCATTTATCATATGACTGCAATGTGTTCCATCCATGTCGTGATTTGTTATTATATCGTTTTCACAGCGTCGTCACGTTTTTTTTACATACGGATGTAAACCGAGTATAAAATCACATTTAAAATAAGATTTTACAGCCACTGAAAGATTAGACTATTTTATGAACTCAATACGTTTTGAACTCATTAGCAGATTTGCGGCCTGAGTTCTTTCAAGTGAATTATGTTTTGTAAACAAATCATTCAAAGATAACTTGCTATCAACAAATACGATGATCAAAACGGAATCATTACAAGAATAAACCAAATACCTGTGTCATCGCTGATCGCTATTTTACCTTTTTTTTTTGTCTTTTTTCCAAATTATTTTATTAATTTATTGATTCAGTCTGAATATTCACGCTGGTGGCTGATTATTACGTATGGAATGTAATAAGAAAAGACCTCCGGACGAGGTATGAGCCCATATATTCCAAGAACAATAAATACCGGATAAATTAAAATGCTTGTTTTTTATCACAATCAATGTTTGCTATACATGTAGCATATATTCACATTTTTAAGTGTTTTTTTCTTCTTCTTCTTCTTCTTTTTCTTCGTCGTCTTAAATTATTATACTTTGATGTTTTGTGCATGGCAGCATTTGTTCAAACAATAAATTCAAATCGATTCAAGTTTTTTTTTTTGTTAGTCGGAAAAACTTTGCCAAATTGCTATTACACTTGTTGACGTTCCAACGAATACAGCAAACAATCCAAATATGGCAATCAGCACGTTCTTCATGATCATCAAAGCTCTTTGTATGCCACATGTATCATGCCAATAAACCATCGATTCGATTAAAGCGGGAAATATGAGTCCAAGCGTAGACAAGCACAATGCACCGATCAATGAAATAAACAAATCCAACTTTGGAATGGCTACAGCTAGTAAAACTGCACAAAAACAGTTAGATTGGAGAAAAAAACGGTTTCAGTTCGATGTAAAAAAATATATTGTTCAAAATCGATGAACGAATGAAAGATAATAAAAACTTACATGTAATTAAAACGATCACAAATCGTACGACATATTCCCAAAATAGCTTATGCTTTTCATTGGAAATTTTATCGACAACATATTTATTCCAAGTAAGATCGATAGCCACATAGCATGCAACACCATGTGTAATAAAGATGCCAAAAGCAAGCATTCCTTTCACCGACTGCGCCAAACTGTGTACAATCAAGAAGTTCTTACGTCATTAACCGAATACATACAAACCGCATAAGACGCCGAAAGAGAAAAGATGCTCGAGATACACTAGTGGCAACATTTGTCTCGTCATTCGTTTCGCACAGTTGTGACTATACCATACAGCAACTGCACGAACATGTACTGAATGGAGTCGAACAAAAGAAATACCACACAAAAGGGAATGCAAAAATTGCCACTGAATTTGACTCTAGATCTCTATCTTTCTCTCTTTGTGTTGCGCATGTTATAGGTAGTAACACACTCATATTCTTACAATATGTTTTTTTTTACTTTGCGTGCGCGCGTATGTGTTCATTTATATGTATTGAACAGATTTTTTTGACTCACATTTCGTCTGATCGACTGTTTATCTCCAAACTCAGTGTGATTGATTCTCGAATGCCGTCTCCATATTTTAAATAACCGAACAGACCCATTCCAATGTACAAGGTAACGATAATCACAAATGCGCGATTCAATACGCCGGTGACTCCAACATAAGATTTTGGTGTTTTCATTTCGTTTTCCAGTGGTATGACCTTTAAGCAAAAACAAAACCAACATTACAATTATACGAACCAACATATTATTAAGTATATACGGAATTTTGTAAAATCTATACTATTTGGTAGATTTAAAATTTACTGAAGAAAAAAATCAAAAAAAAAATCATCGTGAATGATTTATTTACTTACCACACCAATTGCTTCCAAACTGAAAAGCACCGTTCCGAAGAAGAATGGAAATTCGGATATGGGACCGACGGCTCGTTTTCCTTCTAATGAAATTGGTTCGCGTACGATAAAGTAACAAATGATACCAAACGAAACAATGGTAACAAAATTGGCAAATGTTGAAAGCGGTGCTAGATACTTCAAATTTCGCACCTACAAACGAACAAAATAAACAAAAATCATAAAAATTTAATTTCTATAAATCACACATGATTCACATGTCTCGATGCTCTATCGCCGATTTATTTACCGAATTGAGAAGAATAATTGCCGGCAAAACAACCACCATGAATAAACGTACATCGGTTTTCGTTTCGGTGGCATAATCAACAATTGATTTTAAATTTTCAGCTATGAATACCACATAAATACAACAGCCGCCAATTTGACACATTAACAAAAATGCATTCGCTATATGCCTGTGGAATGAATATTGCATAAAATGGTTTGTTTGTTTGTAAATAAATCATTTATCTCTTTCACGGGTAAACAATTTTGAAAACACAGTTATTACTTAACGTATGGCGCATATTTATGAACGGACTTTGGACCCTCGAGTATAGCATATTCACAGATCGATGTATAATCCATTCTTGCTATCTATTGAAACAACATTCATTTCATGAATTTTCATTCAAATACAAAAAACACACACGCCAAATTCAAATCGATTTATCTGGTTTTTGAGCAAGTGTCTAACGCTTACCTTTCTCCGTTTGCACAGTTCATAATGTGATTTCAACAACATTTGTACACAGTAAACACATATGATGCCTATGACAATTGTGCCGATCGATCCCACCAAATAACCTACGTGGTACATTGCCTACGGGGATTTTCGAAAAGTTGTTGGTTTTTATGTGCATCTCATTGACAATTATACATTACAAAATGTAAGATAAAAAATGTTTTAATTGGAACCAACCTTCGGCATAGCTAGTATTCCAGTGCCCAACGAGCCTTTCAGCAAATGAACAATTGTGTCCGTATTTCTGTTGACAAACGAAAATTATTGTATTAAATTCAAAATAAACCGAACAAAAAACCACCGAACTCAAATTATGATCAATCAGGAATTACGTTATTGGATGTTTGACTTTTCGATGTAAATATGGATCATAGTCATCATTTTTAAGTTTTTTCTCTGGTCGCTCTTTGTTTGTCGTTTCATCCATACGAAAACTGTCCGCGGTTACTCTGTAATAGGTACAAAAATAGATTAAGATTTTAATTTTAAAGAAATTCATGACGTCATTTACTAACCGCTTTCCGTGATCGTCAACGAATGTGTTATTATGGAATCCTTCTGAAGCCATCTTCAACTGATTCATATACAATTTTAAAAATAAAATCCGGAAATAATCGATGAGCACGTTGTTTTGTTTTTTATCTAGCCGGAACTTTTTTGCTTTACCATTCACTTCTTTAAATATACAATTCCCTGTTTCAAACTTTGTTTTCTGTCTTCAAATTTGTCTGTTCAATTACAACTTGATCAACTCATGTTTGGTAAAATAATAAGCAAGTTTATAGCTTGGTTTCTGTATTTATAATATGACTTATCCCTACTTTTCTTATCTCTTACAACCGGTTTTACACCATTACACATATTCTTAAGTACGCGAATTTTGTGCCCACCAATAATGCTGTTGAAGTGTGTGTTTGTGTGTGAGAGAGTGTATGTTTGTGTGTATCAAGGTCATAGATAGTTTATTGGCCAGTGAAAGTAAACGTTTGTGTTATTTATTCGGATACTGAATTGACTTTTGTAGACACATAAACAAAATGATGATGTTTTGATGAGCAAATAATTGTTTGGAAAGAGGTGAATACATGCACAAAGACTTGGTGGCTCCGAACATCTAACGGTTCAATTCGTAAATTGTTATCTATTATAAATTCATAGCACGACATTGTCAATTAATGTAGCCAGTTTTTAGCAACGGAATCACATCTATGCGACGCAAATCGTGTGCAGCCGTTTAGTCAAAATTCGAAAAAAAGTAGTTTTAATAAAAATACTTCAATACAGGGTGTCTGGGATCGACTGAATATTATTTCACACTTCCGATTTGATTTGATTCTATGGAATTTTACGATAAAAATGTGTATATATAACAACAAAGTGATGACAAAACCTTTTTTTTTTAATTGCCATTTGTTTAATCATGATTTGCAGAATTATTTAAAGCTACAACTTCGGTGTATGATCAGATAACAATGAAAGTAAGACAATGCCAATTTTTTTTAGATGTAAATCGTGATTTGAAAGATGACGCCATTGTTAAGATTTAGTCTAGGGGAAAATAACGTTTGCAAATGCTCATCAAATGCTGCACATGGCAGCGCATACGTTAAGGAACATTCGCAAGCGTATTTGTTAGCAACGCATACACTCACTTCGCTATCGTGCTTAGACTGTAAAACTGCTTGCAAGTGTAGACTGCCAATACGTGCAAATGCGTACCAATGCCTGCTAATGCCGAGCACATACACTAATAGTTATTTCCCCCTCGGATTTAGTTTTATTATAAAAATGCCGAGTTAAATGCAACAATGGGGTCCCGACCTGAACGCAACATGGACTGAAAAATGTAAGAAATGTTTCGGGTCGGACTGGACTGATATTTTTTAATCCTAATTTGTCGCTGGTTTCTGGCTAAAAAATGGTCAATGTACAATCGATTCGACTTGATTTGATGTATTTTTCCACACTGTGATCCGAGCAAAGCATTTATTCTAACCTGGTTAAGGATAGATAAATATAAAAAAGGCACTGGCTTCGTGGTATGATCTTTCTCTATTAACAACAAGTCAACAACTAACTACTGCTTAATAATAATGTTGCGCATACCATTGCGATGCGTTACGCATTATTGGTATGCTTCGATGCATTACGCATGTGTGGTCGTGTGCGTGCACTATATGTTAGATGCACAGAGTGGTACTAACAGCATAAGATGCTTAAAGTAAGTCATCAAAAAAAAATCTTGTGTGTGTTGTAATTTATTTGAAAATAAAATATATTTTCACGTTTTCAAAAAAGAGTAAACGTATATATCGACACACCTTGTAAAAAGGCTGTAAATTTGCTTTTGGTATTTTAGCCGTCACATTGCATTCATTAGCATCATGCATTATTACTAATTGTTTGATAATTTTGAAAATATGGCGCTTTCTTATCTAATCACTGAATGTCCCAACCGTGCATTTTTATTTTATTTCACATATAAAAATCATAAACTTTATTTTCAATTATTTGAACAATGTTTCTTATCCACAACAATGTTGCAAAAACTGATTTTTATTATATGTGCTACGGTTTGTTTGTGCATGATCAATAACAGGAATCAATGACGTTAAGCATTTTTTTTATTTTAACTCGTTTTATACGCCCGTTTTTTTATGGTTGCGTTTAATACTAAGTCGTTCAAACTTTAATCGTTCGTATAGTTAATAGACATATGGTGATTCAGAGATGTGTTTCTCGTGAAATCCCATTACTTATTTTCTAAAATATTGAAAAAAAAGAAGATTCTAATCTGCATATTTGCTGTCTCGATTTTACGCATAAATACCGACGTGCTTAATTATCAAACGTCTCATGCAAAACGATAAAATAATGATCAAAGTTTTGAAACTTGTGTTAAAACATTTTTTTTACGAAATCGCTTAATTGGTGTCTGATTCAAAAACGGTGTAATATTTTAATACACTATCTAACAACTTAAATTTTGGTTAAAAATAAACCTTCGAATTATATATTCAATGAGTCGAGCACACACATAAAGAGCCCTTAATAGTTTATCGCTTAAAACTGGATTTTATGACATAAAAATATAACAGAGTATGATAGAAAGAGGGGGGAGGGAGATAGAAAATTAATGTGAATTTTATTTGATTAAAGGAACATTACATATATGTTCTTGACAAAATATTGCCTGCTTCATGATGTGAGAAGAGCATTGACGATCTCAACTTGTACTACTAATAATAACTGCAATAAATACACGTGCTTTGTTTCGGTATGTAGATGTTTTGTAAACAACTTTTAACGATATACATTTCGAATAACAACCGCTTTTGATTTATTCATTTATTAAGATTTTGAAGAAATTCCATCTCATAACGCTCCTCAAAAACCATTCAAACGATTGTTGCAATTGATTTCAATTAAGTGTATGCCGGAGGCGGTGGGCGCTGGTATCGAAGATTCTTTGTTGAAGATTCAACGAATACGACATCTATTAAAATACATAAAGATTTTTGTTACTAAAGAACACACTGACTCTGATTTTGTGTGTCCGTTTGTATTGCAAATTCTGCACTCAGTCGTCAACCGTAGCTGCTTGTGCAAAATTTACAACACACACGCATACACAGAATCGGTGTCAGTACTAATACGTTTGCAATACAGCTATATAGTTCGCTAGAGCTGTGTCAAGACTGCAGTAGTAACGAAAATCTTTATTGTCTTTAATAGGTGGCGTATTGTTGAATTTTCAACAAATATTTCCATACAAAAAGTGCTTCACCAGCGCCCACCGGCCGGAGGTTTCTTTTAAAGCACATGCTGCTATGTAATTTTTCAAAAAAACAATCGACATTAATATTATCGTTACTTGTGAATTTCGTAATTTAACGGTTATCATTTTCCGCCGTATTGGATATGATATAGAGTGTATATGTGTATCATTAAATGGATACAGTAGCACATTTCTTTGAATGTTTGGCATTTATTTCTGGTTGAATTGTTTGTTTGGAGCGCGAATAAATCGTTTCTCGTTATAGCAATCTCCGACATCTGTTTTTCATGGCAAACATTGTTTTGCATGCTATTTTATACCGAATATATCGTTGTTCACATTGAATTTGGTTTTCTTTTCACATTTTGGATTTGTAGTCATTTTATTTTTTTCTGCGGAGGGTGGTTTCAAGTTTTCCAACAACATAACATGTTCTTGTCAACATTTTTTTCTTCCCATCAAAGAAGATGTTATGCTCATCAATACATCTCCATTCTACTCAGCGTTGCTCTTTCTTTTTGTTTTATATCATTGAAGAATTAGTACAATTTAGATGTACGTTACTAGCATCAGAAGCAGCATCACTTTCGACTGAATAAAAATAAAGAAAATGAAATACAAAGAAAACGCGTGTTTCAACACACATACACACATCAACAAAAAGAACATCGTATCGTATACACTTTTATCAGAATAATTTTCATTAAGTAATTCCGATCTAATGAATGGAATTCTCTGTCGAATGTGTACATTCAGTTGTTCCATAATTACTTCCACTCATCAATTTTCTTCTTCGGATGCGGTATATTTTAAATGAGGATATGAAGAAATACATTGGTTTAAATGAATAGAATACATTATGCTCTGTCACTTGATATCAAAGAAAATGCTTTCCTTCATCATTAATTCACAAAAAAAAATCTTTTTTTTCTTTTCGAAAGACAATATGCCTTTTGAGGTACGAAAGAAACGAATGATTTAAATTGTGAAAATATTATGATGTAGATATAGTAGAAATTTGTCCCGTCCAGCAAGGTTTTTTTTATTCTCATCAATTTGTTTTCAGAAAGAATTTGCATAAAATTTCATCGGACCTTTGACGGACGAAATTAAAATGATCCCAAACGAAAACTTAAATCGCTCGGCAACATTTCAAATTCAGGTAAATGTAATTAATACTTCTTTGATGATTCTTTCTTTCCTTCTACGGGCAAATCGATATGACATTGTAAATGGAATATTACAAATTCCACGTTCATGTTCAAAATAACCGATTTAGAATAGAAATTAGAAACGCATAGAGAATGAAGATTTTGCTTTCTGACGACCCAGCTCATATGTGCGTTGTTTCGTTTTATCTTTAAAATAGACAATAACGCATACGAAGTACGCATCTACACAAGAATTCGGGTAAGGACATGACAAACTTTAGATTTCCAAAGAAATGGTTTGGAATCAATGAAAAGGGCATTTTTTACAGATTTTTCATTTTATGACAGTTGAGTGAGCGCAATAATAAAATTTATGACATTGATATTTTTGATTTTATGACGAAATTTATATTACTATTTTACTGTTGTGATCATTCTATTTAAAAGAAAATAGAAAGTCTGTATTTTCCATTCTTGAATAATTGCCCAATTTGTTTGGTTTACAGTCTTACTTTGTTTTTGGTTCATCACTTTTATTCGAACATCAAACTTTATAAAGTTTATTTTTTTATGGAAATAAACTAGTTTCCAAAGGTCATTCAATTCATATTATGCCATTTTATAGTCTGAATTTAAAGTCATCCATTTATTGGCAGCAAAAAAAGCAAACAATATTAGAAATATTCTCGAATAATAGAACCATCAAATTATCATATCAGTGGCTTTGATTTGATAGTTCACAATCAATATTTGCGATTATTGTTGGCAATATTTTCTAAATATGAAAAAAAGAGTAAAGAAATCCATATAAGGAAAGACGTTCGATGGATACCTTTCGACCTCACTT